ATGGCATGACCCTAGGGTGAAGGTGGCAGTGTGATCGTCACCCCTGTGACCCCTTGGGGACATCCCCGGTCCCTCAGGGTGAGGTGACAGTGTCATCGTCACCCCTGTGACCTCTTAGGGACATCCCCGGTCCCTCAGGATGAAGGTGACAGTGTCATCATGGGGAGGTGGCAGTGTGATCATCACCCCTGTGACCTCTTGGGGACATCCCCGGTCCCTCAGGGTGAGGTGGCAGTGTGATCATCACCCCTGTGACCTCTTGGGGACACCCCCGGTCCCCAGCGGGAGGTGACAGTGCCCTCAGGATGAGGTGGCATCACCCGAGGGTGAAGGTGGCAGTGTGATCGTCACCCCTGTGACCCCCTTGGGGACACCCCCGGTCCCTCAGGGTGAGGTGACAGTGTCATCGGGGGGAGGTGGCAGTGCCATCGTCACCCCGTGACCCCATGGGGACAATCCCCGGTTCTCGCAGGGCCAGCCCGGGGTGGCCGCTGTCCCCTCACCTGGGCAGGGACAGTCGCTGTCCCCTCACCTGGGCAGGTGACACAGGAAGTCGCTGTCCCCTCACCTGGGCAGGGACAGGGACAGTCGCTGTCCCCTCACCTGGGCAGGTGACACAGGAAGTCGCTGTCCCCAAGGCGGGCGCAGAAGCGCGGGTGCAGCTCCAGGTGGCTCTGGCAGATTTTGTCATCGCCGCAGCCCTGGCGCAGGAAATGCACCTGGGGGGACACGGGGACACTGAGGGGACACGGGAACACTGAGGGGACACTGAGGGGACACCGCGGGGACACGGGGACACTGAGGGGACACTGCTGGGACACTGAGGGGACAGCCCGGGGACACTGAGGGGACACTGCGGGAACACCGCGGGGACACTGAGGGGACAGCCCGGGGACACTGAGGGGACACTGAGGGGACACTGAGGGGACACTGAGGGAACACCGCGGGGACACTGAGGGGACACTGAGGGGACACTGAGGGGACACTGAGGGAACACCGCGGGGACACTGAGGGGACACTGAGGGGACACTGAGGGGACACTGAGGGAACACCGCGGGGACACTGAGGGGACACTGAGGGGACACTGAGGGGACACTGAGGGAACACCGCGGGGACACTGAGGGGACACTGAGGGGACACTGAGGGGACACTGAGGGAACACCGCGGGGACACTGAGGGGACACTGAGGGGACACTGAGGGGACACTGAGGGAACACCGCGGGGACACTGAGGGGACACTGAGGGG